CGGACCTGGATGTATCTGGTCTCAGTTTAGTCCAGATACGAGTAGAATAGACCTACCGGTAGTGTGAGTATGCCCTTATTAAAACAAAACCCCCCTAGCTCCAGCTCGGGAAAAAAAAAAAAAAAAAAAAAAAAAACATAACATTCGTTTTCATATCTGACATTTGCCCTTTTTTTTTTCTTTTTTTTTTTAACTTGCAACTTGGTGACAGATTCTGCAGAGGAGTTCTTTTCGTTGTCCCATCCGAAGAGCTATGTCGGCAAGAGCTTCCAGGACTGTGGTCCCCGTCCTAGAGTCACAACACAATTTTTTTTCGTACTTGAACAACGGCAGATCGTACAAGTCGTACGGCAGAATGTATCCCAGCTCATCGTTGGCCAGCCCTATGAGCATGACACGTGGCACTAATCCAGCGGTTCTGACCGTGTGTTTTATTCGAAGGCTAAGACAGGGAGAAATCTCCCCGGGCACGGTCACTGCACACAGTGTACCTACATCCAGTACAGAGACAGTCGTCACAAAGTACCCAAGGGGCCAGATAGGTAGCCTCTGAATCCAGGAGGACCCATAGAACTTGCTCCGATGCAAGAGACCGAGCAGTCTGCCCAAGAAATAGTTCATGTTTGAGGAATAGACAGCCACTGGCATGTGCCAGATGGACAGTTCTGGCCGTCGATTGTATGGATTGCCCTCGCTGTCCTCGAGAGAGCGAAGAGCCTGCACAACCTTGTCGCCCAGGATGTTGCCGAATGCTGCAGCGCTGCTCCAAGGAGAGGTGGTTCTCCCCATTTCCACGGCGGCGGCGGCGGCGGCGCGGTCCCCCTCCTTATTACCCCCAATTATGTCACCTGGCACTCCCTGATAGCAGGAGGACATGTCGGCATCCTCCTGGCCACAACAGCCTGAGGCGTTGCTTGCCTTATCCTCCTTATCGATATCGCCGTCGTCGACAGTCTTATGTGGGTCCCGATCCCCACCGCCGACAGTCTTATGTGGGTCCCGATCCCGACCGCCGACAGTCTTATGTGGGTCCCGATCGCAACCGCCGACAGTCTTATGTGGGTCCCGATCGCGATGGCTGTCGATTGATTGGTCGGACGACTTCTGAATCCCGTCTGGTTCCTGAAGAGCATGTGCTGGTGGGTTCCACGTGGTCCCCCCTTTTCCCCCCTTAGTAGCCGCCGCAGTCGCCGCCGCCGCCGCCGCCTCAGGAGGGAGAGAGGGCGTCACCAGCCCTCCTAGTGCCCCGGCCACGAAGATCGCACACCCTCCCATCTCACCCTCCACCTTCTCTCTCACCCAGTTTGGGAAATCTGACGAGATCAGTCGCCCAGTCGACGGCATGAGCTCGGGGTGACAAGCCACCTCCATCACTGTACAGATCCCTGGCCCTCCCCCTGCCTCCTGGACGTGTAATATGTTCATCTCCTGGTCTATCATCCCCTCTCGCCTGAGATTCGTCAGCATAGGGACATCCACATAGGCCCGGCAGGACGCCAGCTCAGCCGGCTTGACGTTCTCTATGGCACGCTGGACAGCCTCAGCGGCTGCCACGTAGACTCTCGACATGTAGTCCCGGTCTATCCCACATCGAAACGGCGGCTTTCCCCATAAGCCCAGAGTATCAGGGCCACTGTGAGTGTGCGTGCTTGCCACTATCGCATGCTTTGCATCCACCATCCCCTCAATGGCCATTTTCAAGGAGTCCATTTCATCGCCTTGGATGCCAATGCAATCAACGGCCAAGATCACAACACGATTAGTCTTCACTGGGAGGCTGCTGCAAACGTCATCCTCGGCTTCTGTCCTCTCTTCTCCCTCTCCCTCCCTCCTATTCCCATGATTCTCTTCGCCTTTCTTATAAGACCCTGCCGCCGGTTTCTCTGTTCGTGGCACTTCTCCTTTCGCCTCCTCGCCGCTTTTTCTGAGTGCTACGACTCCTTTCAGCGGCGATTGGACGCCAACCGTTGCATGGGCTGCACCCTCGCTGCTTCCTCCGAGTCCTCCCTCCTCCTCCTCCGCTCCGCCTCTGCCTAATGAGCCATCACCACAGCCATCCGCCTCGGAAAAGACGGACTTAGCAGCTGTGGCGTGCCACTGGTTGTGTGACAGTGTTGTCGAGCTGTCCCTGTCACACTGCTCTCCAGCTGCTGAACCCCGTGAGCACTGCAGCACCAACGCCCTGACCCATAACCGATCGCTGACACCCTCGCTTCTCCTATTGGGTGCGTATCCTGCCAAGTACACGCTCTCGGAAGGGGTGATATCCACCGCCCACGCTCCGGCCATCAAGACGTTGTCCCGCGAGGTCCCCTCTCCTCCATTACCCATCAAATGCCTCTCGTAGATCGATCCTGTGTTGGGCAACGCCCGCCGTATCCCCCAGCCTCCCCTCGCAGCCAGCAGCCGTGATGCCACCGCCAAGAGCGACAACACCACTAGAACGACAACAATAATTATCGCCGCCTGTGTAGCCATCGCTCCAACTAGGAACCCTTCGTCGTCTTCTTCTTCTTCTTCTTCTTCTTCTTCTTATGACTTCGGAATGATTGGTATACTTCTTCTGCTGCCGCTGCTCCGGCTGCTCCGGCTGCTCCTGCTTGTGCTTGTCCCCCTCTGCTTATCCTTGTGTGCGTGTGTTTCCGTTCTCTTCTCTTCCACCCCTCATCCTCTTCTCTTTATCCTCTCCTTCTCTGTCTCCTCCTTCTTAATGATCCTGACACCTCTTCTTCTTCTTCTGCTGCTGCTGCTGCTGCTGCTCATCCTCTTCTCTTTATCCTCTCCTTCTGTGTCTCCTCCTCCTCCTTAATGATTCTTACACCTCTTCTGCTGCTGCTCCTCCTGCTGCTCCTGCTTGTACTTGTCCCCCTCTGCTTGTGCTTGTGCTACCGTTGTCTTTTCCTTGCACCCTCATCCTCTTCTCTTTATACTCTCCTACTCCGTCTCCTCCTCTTTTTTTTTTTGTGGCCTCCTCCTTCTGGGATACAGAAACGATCTCAGCCCACGCAATAAACAATAAATTTAGCACATGACGACTCCAACCACAGTTATACCTTCCATTCATGCACGCAGCTACCCAGAGCAAAGGGAAGGAGGACGGCCTCGAAAGACACGAGTAGAGGGAAATGATGAGGAGGAAGAAGAAAACGAAGAAGAAGATGATACGACACAGCTGCTCTCCCCAACGCGACCAATAGGTCAATTAAAATTAACAACTATCTTGAAGCTCGGACCTACTGCTTGACGACGCGACCCTACGCCGCGTTTCAGCCCGTCCCCAACCGGCTCTCCTTGTGGTACTTCCTCTTCTCTTTTTCTCCTTTTCATCTTTCAAATTCTGTTTTTCTTTTTTTCTTTTTTTCTCTTTCAAATTCTTTCAATTTACCTTCATTACCCACCTACCACTACTCGTAAGGCTTATACAGGGGACCCCTGCGAACGTAGCTTCGTTGTCTCCCTCCAGCCATCAGAGGGGATGCATGTTGCCCCCCGCCCCAACCATGGTGGTCAAGGATGGGGTGGGGCCGCCGGTGGGGGTCCGGCTAACGCAAGGACCGAGCATTTTGCCAGTAGCTGCGCCTCCCTTTTCATCGCTTTTCATCGTCCCCCACCCCCAACCGAATAACAGCAGTGTCTAAGGCGGTGTGAGTGTGAGTGGGTTGTCCTCCCGTTTCTCTTTTTTTATTTTTTCCTGCTGGAAACCGGGTCCAGCGTCCCTATCGCCCACCTGCTGTAGCAGGTATCGCACCTGCTGGTGGGTGCAGCTCCCGCATGTTCCCTCGTTGGAGGCTTGAGCACGGGTGTGGCTGCTACGGGGTTCCCTGTAATACTATAATGACAATAAAAAAGGCCTGAGAGGCCTTCCTGTCCAGATTTGACAGGTAATTGAATTGGTTGGGAGAATTAGTCTAAAAAAAAAAAAAAAAAAAAAAAAAAAAAAACATATTTTACAAAACAGTACAATCATTGAAAGTGGCGCCATTGAGCTGGAAACCTGGTCCAGCGTCCCATATCCGATCTACTCATCCATACCTAACCTGCAGCAGGGCTGGGTATCGGGGGGGAGAAATACCCGGGGGCACCAGTGGAGTCTCCCTCCATCCCTTAACCCCTGCCCTCCACCTACTGTCCTTATGGCGCGTATTGTGTCTTTTACTGAACATTAGACTCTCTCTCTTTTTTTGGAGAATCTGCTCCAACTATTGGTGGGGAGCATCACCTGCTGGAAACCGGGTCCAGCGTCCCATAATTACCTCTTTATAAACAGTCATCTTTGAAGTGACGCCATTGTGCTGGAAACCGGGTCCAGCGTCCCATATCCAATCTACTCTCCCCCTCCATCCCCAAGCCCCTGCCCTCCACCAACTATCCTCAGGGCGCCTATTGTATCCATTCGCCATAATTATCGCAATAACTATCGCAATGCATCAAGGTAACCAGGGATGAGCAGAAACCAGAGGTAAGCAGAGAAGCTGAGCAGAGAGGAGGCCTGAGATAGCCTAAAAATATCTGAAAATGGACTGAGGTGCGACTGGCTGTATCCCACTAGATCCGACCATCAGGCCCCTAGGGTCATGAAGGCGGGAATCTTTCTTCTAAGGACAGCGGGTGGGGGAGGAAGGGGTCTGCGAAATCCTGTGCAGCACGTTGCGGGCTGCCAGGATCTATCTTAGTCCAGTCGTGAAAAATCAGCTGGTAGTCTCTTACCATCTCCGTCCGGGGTTCCTCCTGTGGGTTTCTTTCTGGCCGACAATCCCCGGTCCATTTTACCTCAGCCACCCATCCCTTCCTTACCCCTCCCAGCCAGTCCTTGCTGAAACAGGAGATAATCCTGTTCATATTCCCCCAGGTATGCATTTGGTCCAGCTTGTCTTTGGCTGCCTTCCATCGGGTCGCAATCTCGTGTTGAACCAATGTTCGTATTTGTTCCATAACTTCTCCGTCTTCCACCCGCGCCCCCTCTACCTCCAGGATACATCTCTTCCACCATATGGCCCATAGGACGCTCCGTCTTCCCAGGTTAAACATATTTTCCTCAAATATATTGCCCTGGATTTGAGGGCAGTACCCCAAGAGTATGGCCCGCCAATCCCACCAGGAACAATGTGTCGCCAAATCCTATCCCAACTTCTCCACAACAGTATTGTCGCTGGACATTGAAAAAAAATATGCTCTATGGTCTCAGCCCGCTTTCTCCCAGGGTAGCTCTGGAGACATTTATGGCACCATGGCAGTGCTTTCCCTTGTTGTTCCAAGCGAGTGTGGTCTATCAGCCAGTCATTGGTTGGTAGACATCGATGTTCTATTTGCCACTGGAGGGCAGAGATTTTGGCAGGTCTACTGCTGTAATGTGCAAACCATCGGATGGGTTTAAACCAATGGTCCCCCTGACGTCAGAAAACCTCAGGGGTACCGGTAGCGCCGTTTCATGACGGCTACCGGTAGCACAGCATGGGAAACCGGGCGGGCCTCCGTACGAAATTTGCGACAAAAATCAGAAATAAACCAAATCGGCGCGGCGACTATTTCGCCGTCCAAATGATTTTTATTTTTTTTTCTGATATTTTTCCCTGAAAGATCACGACCTAATCTACGGACCCTCAAATTTTCAGACATTTTCATTATTTCTTCTGAGCACGAAAAATCGACGAAGTTGCCGCTTGCAAAATGGCGGGATTGGACCCGTCGGCCTCTGTAATTGGAAATAAACCAAATCGGCGCGGCGAATATTTCACCGTCAAAATGATTTTTGTTTTTTTTCCTGATATTTTTCCCTAAAAGATCACCACCTAATCTACGGACTCTTACACTTTCAGAAATTTTCATGATTTATTCTGAGCACAAAAAATCGGCAAAGTTGCCGTTTGCAAAATGGTGGGATTGGACCCGTCGGCCTCTATACAACCCGGCGCCTCCGTACGGTCGGACCGGTGGTAGCAAGCTGCGGTCAATATTGAGATGGCGACACCATCTGTCTTCAACGCGGTCCCGCAGTCTGCATTTAGGTCTTAGCATTCGGCAGGCTGATTTGGATTTTAAGTTGAATAATGTCAACGTGTTTGCCTCCCCCTTCCTGGCCCGGGCGTTTAGGGACCATCGCCACTCCTCGGGGTCCAGGGGGAGGTCCTCGATCGGGATCATTTGGCGATACGCCCTCTGGCGACCTCCTTCATCAATGACCCTAACAGCCTTTCCGCTCCTTCCATATGAAGGGTTGTTGGTTCCACCGTAATTCTCCGCCCTTCAGGATGGAGAAGACTTTGATCAGTACGTGCGTTTGGTCAGCATAGTGCACACGCCCTACCTCCCTGTCGTGGTCGGGCAGCCCCACCCAATCTCCTTCCTTAACGGAGGGACCCTTTCTTAGGGTAGTGTACCATTGAAGGGGGAAACTGTCGATGAGATCGTTCAATACCGTCTCAGTAAAATGGCAGTACCGCAGACATGCTCGTATTCTTTTCGTGCTCTTCCAGCTCTTTGCCTCCATACCCCAAAGGTCCCCGACCCTTCGTACACCATGTTTCACCCAACCCTTCCAGGGAGTATCCAAGCTGCACCTCACACGCCCCCGGGAGTCCGTTATTAGACAGTTGCCAAATAAGGGTTGCCTGAATATTTCTTCCCACCTCTCTGGTGCAGGTCGGTCGGGGGGAGGAAGTTTCCTCCATGTGCGTATGAGGCGCTCCCAGTGTCTGTCCGTGGGGTCCCCGTTCCTGTATTTCCTAGATAGCCTCCAATATCTGTCCTCGAGCCATACCCGGGGGTCAATCTCGGGTGGGGTTTCCCGGGCCAGGGCAGAGATCTGTGCCAAGGCTAGGGGGGTCCATGGGGACGACGGCGAAAAGATAATATGCTGAAGCCAGCGAATCGAGAGGGCCTGAAATTGTGTGGCCGGGTCCACAATTCCTAGTCCACCTCTGTTCTTGGGTTGAATCACCGATTCCCACGCCACTCGGCTAATAGCGTGAGGAATGTTACTATCGCCTCTCCATAGGAAGGCCGCCAACTGTTGTTTTAGTACTTTGAGTCCCCCATTACTCATGGGCCATAGGATGGCCTTGTACCAGAGTGTGGCTAGAACCACGTTATTAATGACAAGTGTTAGCCCAAAGATTGATGTACGTTTATTGTTCCATTTTTCCAACTTGGCTCGCGCAGTTCCTGTCAGTCAGTCATCATTAGTTGCCGGTTTTCCTCTAGCTGTGACTAGCGCCCCAAGGATTCTTAGGGGGTCATCTGGGGAGAGCCATGTGATTCACGGGTTTTTCGGGGGCCTTCCCCCTCGGTGATGCATCCACCACCTCACTGTCTTTTATCCCCAGTTCACAGTCATATCTGTCAACTGGCAGAACTTTCATAAGATGTTGAATTTCTTCCATGTTGGACCCTGTCGCTTCTACCATTATGGTAAGATCGTCTGCAAATAGAGAACAAATAGGTGTTGCTTCCTCCGGGATATTATATATCTTAATGCGTGAGAGGTCTTTGCTATGACGCAGGTTGGCTGACAGTGCTTCCATTATCACCAAAAAGAGATAGGGGGCAATGGGATCCCCTTGGAGCTCAAATGGGGGTGTTACTACCCTATTGACCTGAATGCAGGTGGTGGCATTGTTATGGAGGATCTTGACCCAACGTCGGAAGATAGGTCCAAAGTTCATTTTTTCCAGACACTTGTCTAAAAAAAAACAATCTACGTGGTCGTAGGCTTTTTCAAAATCTATAAAAATGATGACCGCATTTGCCTGATTCCGTCGCGCTAATTGGACCATGTCTTTTACCAACAGGATGTTTTCTTGTATGTTCCTGCTAGACATAAACCCTGTCTGGGCTGGATGTATGACCTCTTCCAAAACCGTCGCCATACGGTTGGCCAGCGCTTTGGAAATCATTTTATATACTACTGTGAGTAACGTAATAGGTCTGTAATTTCTGATGTTCATTTTGTCTCCTTTTTTGTATAGGAGAGATAACACCCCCTTCCCCACGGTTTCTCCCATTTCCCCGGCCGCCCATACGTTCTAATAATATTCCCACAGGTTGGAACTCAGGTCCGTTCATGTGGCTTCCCCAAACTCTTTGGGAAAGCCATCTATGCCGGTTTTTTTTTTCTTCTTTCATTTGGAGGAGTGTTGTCCATACCTCTTCTTTTGTCAGTTCTGCCTCCAACTCGTCGCGCTGTTGTGGGGATATGTGTCGGTCCATTGGAAGTAGCAAGTCCTGTATTTCTCCCGTTTCTCAAAGCT